TTGGGGGGGGGAGAACCAACGCTGCCCCCCTCGTAGGGATCTCCTCTCCCCGCTCTGAGAGGCTTGGGCAGGAGAAACCCCCGCTCCTCAGGCCGGGGGATGGGATTTCGATTCAGTTTTTGCCCCAAAATCTCGTTCTCGCGGCTCCGAGCCGGGGCTGCGGTAGGGACCCGGGTTCCCCGCTCCCCGCGGTGTACGTCGCTCTTTTCCCCTCCCCTCTGGTACATCGCCTTTGACAGGTCACTCGCCCAGGGCGAGTGCCCAGGGCACTGCCACACAGGGGGTCGTGTGTACCCCACCTCCCTCCCCGGTTCCGCGGGGAGCAGCGGGAGCGACAAGGGCAGGGGCTGGGGGGGGAACCGGCAACGGGACCGACGGAGGAGCGGGGACCCGAAGGGGCACACGCCTTTTCCAGCGGATGCCCCGGTTCTGCCTCCCTCCCCCCCGGCGAAGGAATGTCTCCCAAATAAAAATAAGCCGTTTCCCTATTTATTTCCCAAAGCCTCGGAAACGCTCGTCTGGGAGACGGACACCGAGGAAGGTTTTTTAAAGAAGCTGGAGGGAGATTTTTAGGAAGAGAGCCCAAGAAAACGGGATTATTTATAGCGTTTCAGCCAGAGGAAATGGTGTTGGAAAGGCAGGGAGATTCAAACGAAATTTGGGGGCTGATGGAAGAGCTCAGAAATAACGTTTTCCACAGCGCTAAGCGCGGTTTTACGGGGGAACAGTTTAAATCAGCCCCGACCCTTTTGGGGGTCTCTTACTTGGGGGCTCTCCGGGCTGCCCCCCCCGGGTCTGCCAGCCGCCTCAGCGGAGTTGCCATGTCAATATGGCCCTTATTTGACACACAAACACACACAAACACACAAACACACACAAACACACACACACACCCCCCAGGGAGCGGACCCTTTTGCCGGGGCCGAGAGAGCAGGTCCCCGCGGTCCCGGGAGCGGTGTCCGGGGGTGCGGGGACACACAACCCGCCGTTATTCAGATCCGACTCTGACCCCCCGGCCGCCAGAGATGAATGCGTCTCCTCGCCTGGTCTTTATTCCAGACCCTTTACTCGCAGGGGTAGCTCCCATTAAATCCAGGAAACTGCTCCCTGGAATAAAGTGGCAGGAGCAAGGGGTCGCAGGGCCAGGCCCCGGGGTTTATAAAGAAATCATTCACTCCCGCTTTCCAGTTGTCGCGGAGCGAGCCTGAAAATATTTGTTTATATATGGAAATATTTGGGGGGGGTTGGGGGGTAAAAAAAAAAAAAAACCCCCCTCCCTGCCGTTACGGCGATGCCCGGGAGATTTAGCACAGCTCACCCCCCCCCAACACACACACACACACCTCCCCTCTACCCGTATGCGCCAGGCGGTGCAACAGCGATAAAACACAAAAGCATTCTCGGTGCGGGAGGAAGGGAAGGGCAGCCCCCGCAGAGACCTTGCGGCCCCGCACACACACACGGGGGGAAAGGGGTGG